CAGTTATATCATGACGAGTCTACAAATTTAGGATTAGGTCTATTATTAGAGCAGTACTAATATCATAGTAGACCATAATTCTACAGATCTTCCAAGGGAAGAATCAAGAATTACACAAAGCAGGACAAGATCAGTATCACAAAAATCCACGGGAATTTTGTTTTATTAGAAAGGCTAAAATCTCTTCCGGAACGACAACCGCTTTCATATTTCTACGAATTAGATTTCCGCATGACCTTTATCCTCTGATCGGTTGTCATGCTTTTGTACTTCACTAGATTTCTACATGCTCAAAAGTCATTATCTGCGACTTCAGTAACAAATTTTGCACCAATTTCGTCTGAGTTGCTTGTTCCACCTCGAATACTAGGTTACCTGCAATTTACGTTTTCTTTCTGTCTTAGCCATCGGGGTTTGATGTACTGAGTATAATTGACTGTTGTCATTTACGAAGAGAATCAATCTTATTAGAAAAGCTTTTTTCGTTTCTAAATCCGCAACATCTTAAGCCGTACTGAACCCCGATAACCAGGCACAACAATAAGCGTTTGAAAAGATTAATGGTATTACAATTATTTTCCGCATTTCTCGGTCTTTTTTTCTAACTCATATCGCCCCATGGTGCTTTCATGTGTGATGCCCATCTCTACTTTGGAATTCGAGCTTCTCATCCGAGTAATCTTTTCATCCTGTGTATTTCTCCACGACAAAGAGAACCTACAGTATTTAATAAAACTGGGTTATATAATCTTTGCTGCCATAATTTGTGTGTGAAACACGGCGATATATTGTAGTTCTTTCTGACATTTTTTGAGTGAGTGTTTCTTTGGACAAAGAGCCATGAACCCCCGACACCGTAATGCCATAAAACCTTCTCTATGCAACTTTGGTGCAGCTCTCTATGACAAAGAGCTACTACATGTCTCCCAACTGTAATCTTTCTTGTCCAGTTTGGTTCAATTTGATTTCACTTATCTCAATCGTCGCCGGATTATTTCTCCTCAGTCAATCACGATCTGAACGGTCTCCACACTGTCTGGACACTTCACGTTTCGATATTAGTTGTCGCTCTGGTCATTATGACGGCCATCGGTTTTGCGACTCCTGAAGAATTTCAGATTTCACCACAAGCAGTTGTAAGTTTACGGGACTCCCAAGGGAGGATTTAAATGATTTATCTGGTAAATGTGTTCCAGAAATATTCCTTCTTGCGGGTTACAATTACTAACTACACACAACCTGTTTCTCATTCATGAGCGTGAGAAGGTCACTAACCCCAGGGAATCAAAGCCTATGATGCTCCTTAATTTTTTTCCGGGTTTGAATTATCCCTATTACCGAACTCATCTCCTCCGTTATATATGTGGTCTGAGAAATTAATTTAAAAAAAGATTCGAATATCTTCAGACTATTGAAGGATGACACAGGTATTCAGTGTTTGACAACGCTTCTACCAGTAACACCTAATATGATTTGTACCTACCGAGAGAAATCAAAAGACAGAATCGAGGAGAACGGAAGAGTGTATTTGGCGATGACCAAAATATCGGAATACTCTGATCTAATCTGGCTAGCGATTGCTGTTGATGTTGAGCACGGCGGTACCACACGTGATCTGGTGCGGATGCCTGACCGAGCGCCTTCAGCTAGATGAGTCCACTAAAACATATTGTCAGCATCCAATGTCGAAAACTTACAGAGCTATTTATTTTAGGGATTTATTTACCGCTACAGATCACTCCCCCCTAGTGAGTTAGTGATGACCCTAAGACGTGACCAGCCAGAAGTTTAAACCCAGCGAGTTTGTCGTTGGTAAACACTCTTCTGATAGCTTGTTAGGATTAGCAGCGTCTGGTCGTCTTTCCTTACTATATCGGACGGAGGTACAACATAGTAAAAAAAGAAAATGTACAATGAAAATTTCGGATCCTCATAAACGTCATCGTTCTTTTCCAGCCGTCCTGGAAAAGAAAAACGAAAATGTAAGTGCATGTCGAAATACACTCATATGTGCGTAAACACACAATGTCGGCGGAAAAAAATGGAAAATAAACTCATGAACACGTAATAGCGTTAAAAAAATTGTTTTTTGCTTTGTTTTTTTTTAAAGCGAAATAAAAATATATAAGCATATTAAAATTGTTTTTTTTTAAAAAATAATATAATATGTCGAGAAGTGCCTTACGTGCAATAGTCGTTTAAATGTTCTGGAAATCTCACCCTTCTTCCAGAACGCGTCGTTTTAAGTTTATTTTCAGATACATTCGGAGTATCATCGCGTGTGTTGGTTGTCGATTGACGAATTATGAGTGGAGTCGTGTCGTTCGATTGTACCGAAGGAAAATCGACGTAGATAGAATTTCCTTCCAAATACGCTGTTTTGAGGCGATCGATGCTGGTGCTATCGTTTGTTCCGTTCTTATCGATTATATAGTACTTCGGTTCGCGTTGAAGAACCTTGAAAGGTCCTTCGTATGCTGATTCGAATGGTCGTCGATTCGAGTCTCGACGTACGAAGACATGTGTACCATATCGTGAGTCAGGTTGAACGAAAACATCGGTTGATTGTGGTCGTGTGGAAGCAGGTTCAACTGAACGCATTGCGTTTGTAAGCCTGTTCGTGTAGGATGTTAGGTCCATGTTCATTGAAAAGGACGAAGGATCCACAAATTCTCCTGGAAGTCGAAGTGTCGTTCCATAAACGAGTTGAGACGCAGTGTATCCAATGTCAGCTTTCACTGCATTGCGGATACCTAGTAAGACGAGTGGAAGAGCGTCGGTCCACTGTGAAAGGTTTGCAGCTGATAGCGAAGCTTTCAGTTGTCGGTGAAAACGTTCTACCAACCCGTTTGCTTGTGGATGGTAGGCGGTCGTTCGGAAGCGAGTGATTCCTAAAAGTGTGGTCAGACGACGGAAAAGGTTGGATTCAAACTGACGTCCGCGGTCTGTAGTGATGGTTGAAGGGCAGCCGAAGTTTGCTACCCATCGTTCGACGAAGGTGTGGGCCACTGCTTCAGCAGTGATGTCCTCGATAGGTACTGCTTCTGGCCATCGAATGAAACGGTCTGCGCAGGTTAAGAGATAAGAGTATCCATTTGAATCTGGTAACGGTCCTACCAAATCCAGATGAACATGGTCGAAACGAGCATCGGGAGTTTTAAACGAGCCTAAGGGGGATTTACTGTGTCTGATAACCTTAGATTTTTGGCAGCTTACACAGGAGCGTGCTCACTCCCTCAAATCTTTATTCAAACCAGGCCAGCAAAACCGTTCTGCTATAGGCTTGATGGTTGCACGAACACCTGGATGAGAAAGCTTGTGCAATGTGTTGAAGACATTGCATCGATAATGCTTAGGCACGATTGGGCGATCCCTACCTGTAGATGTGTCACAAAGTAAGGTTTCCTTACCTGTTCCCATCTGTTTGATGCGTAGTTTAAGTGTTGTGGACGATAACTCGTGCTGAAGATCACTGTCTTCTTTTTGAAGCTCGGAGAGTTTAAGAAGGTCGATTCCTTGGAAACTGTTCAAGGAAGTTATGCGAGATAAGGCGTCTGCAACTACATTGTTTGCTCCAGAGATGTGTTGAATATCTGAAGTAGACTGCGAAATGTAGTCCAGTTGTCGAGACTCACGGGGAGAGTACTTGTCAGAAGGAGAGCTTAACGAGAGAGTGAGTGGTTTATGGTACGTGAAAAGAGTGAATTCACGACCTTCGATGTAGTGTTGGAAATGCCGTTCAGCACAATACATAGCTAGGAGTTCCCTACCGAATGTGCTGTACCTCGATTCGGTGTCTAGCAACCGTCTAGAGAAAAATGCCAAGGGTTGCCGGGAGTTGTTAACCCATTGTTGTAAGACTCCTCCCATTGCTGAGTCGGATGCGTCTACTGCGATACTAATGGGTGCTTCGGTGTCCTGATGTGCAAGCATTGTTGCTTTAGCAATCAGTTCCTTAACTGTGGAGAATGTTTTTCGTGCGGTGTCGTCCAAATTAATGGATTTCGCATTTCCACGAAGTTGGTCGGTCAGAGGTTTCATAAGTGATGCGCATTTGGGTATGAAACGTCTATAGAAACTTACGAGGCCGTTGAACGTGCGTAATTGCTTGACGGTGGTCGGTTCTGGGTAATCCAGAATGGCCGCCACTTTGATCCTAAGAGGTCGAATGCCTTGAGTATCGATAGTGTGTCCCGGGAAGTCTAACGAGTCGATCCATAGAGTCCGAAGGCAGTTATGGTAGCTGTTTTCTGTGTGTCGTCAGTAACCATAGGGATTTGGTTATACGCTTTAACCAAGTCGATTTTCGAAAAGACAGTTGTACCTTTCAAGGTAGCTGTCAAATCGTGAATCTGAGGCAACGGGTAACGATCGGGAATGGTTTTCGCGTTCAATCGCCGATAGTCACCAGTTGGACGCCAATCGTTGCTGTCCTTTTTAGGGACCATGTGCAACGGTGTGCTTAATTGTGACTGGGGATAATTTGCAACCAGAAAAGGAAGTTACGCAAACGGACAAATTGGTGTTTCCGTCTACTAGCCTCCGTTGTGTGAAGTTTTGCTCTCAACCGTTGTGGATCGGGTCTTTAGATTTCGCGTCTGCTTGTAGATTCGGAACAATTCTAATGCCTTAATAGAGCACATCTACGTGTTTTCTTATTGAAGAGTCCTTCAACTACGATAATTCCAGAAGAATCTGGAAATACTTCACTCATCCAAGTCGGAGATACGCTAGTAAGACACTCTACAAAGCTTTAGAATACGAAGAGTAAAACGATTGATTTCCAGTTGATTTATATGTACAGAAGCATTCATAAGAAAGATTTGCAGATGTTACGATGTATATCCCCAATAATTAACTGCTCTAAAAACGTAATGACCTCATGTGAACTAAGACCCATATGGATGACAAGGTAAATTATATTTTACATTTTTACCTTGAATATCGTCATCGATTAACTCGAGAAATGTAATACATGAATAACAGGCTGCTGGCCAACAATAACTTTTCACATCGAAATAAACAAGGTATAATTAGTATAGAACAATTTTCGGAAATCACTTTGGTAGGCATGTTGTTTTACTGATCTAAATTAGAAGTGGCGTTGCACTAACTGAAAGTAAGGTATATATAGCCTTCAAGATCGAAAGTGTTCCATATTTGTTCTTCAGTTTACACTAGACTTTGAGATGCAGATTTTTGTGAAGACATTGACTGGTAAAACGATCACTTTGGAAGTCGAACCGAGTGACACAATTGAGAATGTGAAGGCTAAGATCCAAGATAAAGAAGGAATCCCACCCGATCAACAGCGTCTGATCTTTGCTGGGAAGCAGCTGGAAGATGGTCGTACATTGTCTGATTACAATATCCAGAAAGAGTCCACTCTTCACTTGGTGTTGCGTCTTCGTGGTGGTATGCAGATTTTTGTGAAGACATTGACTGGTAAAACGATCACTTTGGAAGTCGAACCGAGTGACACCATTGAGAATGTGAAGGCTAAGATTCAAGATAAAGAAGGAATCCCACCCGATCAACAGCGTCTGATCTTTGCTGGGAAGCAGCTGGAAGATGGTCGTACATTGTCTGATTACAATATCCAGAAAGAGTCCACTCTTCACTTGGTGTTGCGTCTTCGTGGTGGTATGCAGATTTTTGTGAAGACATTGACTGGTAAAACGATCACTTTGGAAGTCGAACCGAGTGACACCATTGAGAATGTGAAGGCTAAGATCCAAGATAAAGAAGGAATCCCACCCGATCAACAGCGTCTGATCTTTGCTGGGAAGCAGCTGGAAGATGGTCGTACATTGTCTGATTACAATATCCAGAAAGAGTCCACTCTTCACTTGGTGTTGCGTCTTCGTGGTGGTATGCAGATTTTTGTGAAGACATTGACTGGTAAAACGATCACCTTGGAAGTCGAACCGAGTGACACCATTGAGAATGTGAAGGCTAAGATTCAAGATAAAGAAGGAATCCCACCCGATCAACAGCGTCTGATCTTTGCTGGGAAGCAGCTGGAAGATGGTCGTACATTGTCTGATTACAATATCCAGAAAGAGTCCACTCTTCACTTGGTGTTGCGTCTTCGTGGTGGTATGCAGATTTTTGTGAAGACATTGACTGGTAAAACGATCACTTTGGAAGTCGAACCGAGTGACACAATTGAGAATGTGAAGGCTAAGATCCAAGATAAAGAAGGAATCCCACCCGATCAACAGCGTCTGATCTTTGCTGGGAAGCAGCTGGAAGATGGTCGTACATTGTCTGATTACAATATCCAGAAAGAGTCCACTCTTCACTTGGTGTTGCGTCTTCGTGGTGGTATGCAGATTTTTGTGAAGACATTGACTGGTAAAACGATCACTTTGGAAGTCGAACCGAGTGACACAATTGAGAATGTGAAGGCTAAGATCCAAGATAAAGAAGGAATCCCACCCGATCAACAGCGTCTGATCTTTGCTGGGAAGCAGCTGGAAGATGGTCGTACATTGTCTGATTACAATATCCAGAAAGAGTCCACTCTTCACTTGGTGTTGCGTCTTCGTGGTGGTATGCAGATTTTTGTGAAGACATTGACTGGTAAAACGATCACCTTGGAAGTCGAACCGAGTGACACCATTGAGAATGTGAAGGCTAAGATCCAAGATAAAGAAGGAATCCCACCCGATCAACAGCGTCTGATCTTTGCTGGGAAGCAGCTGGAAGATGGTCGTACATTGTCTGATTACAATATCCAGAAAGAGTCCACTCTTCACTTGGTGTTGCGTCTTCGTGGAGGTTAATTTTATTTCAGTTCATTTACCTTAATAAACTTTTAATTTAACTTAGTTCTCTATTTGTTTTGTTCTTGATTCTTCGTGTGCGTGTCTAGTGTAACTGTGACTCCTAATCCATGTAGATTTGCTGGTGTTATGCAATTAAGCCTATCGAGTTATCTTATGCCAGTTACCTAAATTTAGTAAGTTTCGATGTTCTGATTTAATTAGGGTGTATCCATATTTCCGTCCTTGATCTTACTGCGTTGGTCGCATTGCTAACTTGTTTGTCGTGCGTTATTGCCTGCCAGGACTCGTGTGCTGAAGTGTATGTGCGGTCTTGTCAACTCGTAATTAATGTTTGTTACAAGTCTCGTGGAAAAGTTTACATGCTCTAGATTAGCTGAATATATATATATATTCTCTTCATGACTGTCCGGGTGACATTTGAGGAGTCCAGACTACCTGGCTGAGGTCCGAGTAATCGTTTTTAACAGTGGCTAGAGACTGGTTGACATATCTAAAAATAGTTCGCAGTAGCCCGGGCGCGTTTATGTCATCTTCCCTTCGAATCTAGGTCGAAGTTATTAGTCTATACTTTCCCAAGCTATCTGCTATGCTTGTTCCTTTTGTCACCATTGCAGTTACTACTCCTGATAACCTGGGTATTGTTTTGATAATTTCGTCTTATCATGAGAATGGGGCGTGAATGGTGAAGAAAGCGCAGAAGGTTAAAGACACCGAGGACTGTGTGAGCTCATCTTTTCAATGATAATCGGCCAGACTTGACCGGTATCTTTAGTGAAAACCAGTTTTCAAATAAATATCTTAGTAAGTTTTGCGGCGTGGCTTGATGTCATTTTAACGGGACTAGCGCGTTTGTTTCCAGGAGCTCTTCATGATTGAGAAGGTGTCATTCGTCCCATTGCCTTATCAACTTCTCTCAACCTCGTCAAATACAAGTGTGATAACGTAGTCCTGCATGGTATGAGGTTGTGCGCAATCGTTCGTTATGCCTAACGTGTCAGTATCGTCTTAGCTTTTACAGTTTGGGGCTTGATGTCTTTGCCCGGACCTAGTATCAATAGCCGTTGTACGACAATTCGATAACCTGAAAGTAAAGCGAGCGTCTGGTATTTCCACGTTTTACAATACTGCTGTTTATTCAATGGTTTGATTGATAATGCTTATTAGTCGTCCGTTAACGTATAAACAGGCTTTCAGTTTGTACTGGTTCTTGATTTCTAGGCTACAAGAAAATCCCAGTCTCCTTAGACGTGGGTTGTTGATATCAGTATTCCTCTTAGGCGTTAACTGGTTAAGTATTAGCTTGAATTTTTATTTACGACTAGTAGGATCTTCTCTAGTCTCATTTTATTTTAATAACTTCGTCTAGCAGTATCACTGAACATCTTACATTACGGAAATCTTTCGTCCTTAAACTCATCTGGTACTTCTGTCGGTCTAAATCCGGATAAAGGATAAGGGTTGGGAGTGGTGTTCGAAGCCCTTTGTTAAGGAAAGCTGCTCCGAATCACTAATCAGAGCTGGAGATCCTTGGATAATGCATGTACCTTTATTTCTTTGACACTTATGATTGGAGGGGCTCTGGATATGTCTGCATTCAGTGTTTTGAACGTTCTTTAATTACTTAATTTGAATGGAGCCTTAAATATTCACTAACTGGAGGATTCGGAATACTTATGTTACTCATCTCTGTTTTTGGCCTAAGGCCTGAGAAGCAAAAAAAGACGGCTTGGTGTCATACACTAATGCCTTCTGGTTGGTCACTTTCTGATATAATAGCAACAGACTTAAGAGCATATTTAAGCATACGGAGGTTTGAGAATATAACGGAGAGCTAAACTGGCGACTTATTCCAATACCATATTACTAGAACAATTGATAGGATACCTAAAACTAGCTAAGCTGACCATTAGTTAAGTTTCAGTTTCGTACTATCGACATTAATGGTATACTGACCCTTGGTCTCTGATTCAGAAAGTCACAAGGCACTTGAAGTGTTTAGAATAACAGTCTTCTTCGATTTCACTTCAGATGTCCTTTTAGATCACGACTTTGGACTACAATTTGGGCGTGCTGGATAGATGATCATAATTCCACGCTTTCAATCGCTGGCAACTTAAGTTTATGAGAAAAAAACCTATCACTTTATGATAATCACAGAAGAGTCAGCTTAACTAGCATGGTTTTTAAGCATCTTTGCCCATTAGACATTTGATTAGAACATAAGGATAGGAAACCTTGGGTAGATCAGATACATCTTAGGTTTGGCTCGAAATGTATCGACCAATCGTCGTCTCAAGACATAATAAAACTCAACGGACTAAGACTATATCCAACTGCGTTGATCGAGAGGTCTTGTGATAGCATCTTTTATTGAAAAGCGTTAAACAAATAGATATAATCAACGTAGAAAATGGCAGATATATACTTCAGTTTACATTACCACATTTCACCTCAACATAATGAGACTAAATTCGCAAAAAGATAAGAAGCTGAAAATAACAATGTTTTCCCTATGAACACTGAAAAGGAGTAACGTAATCGTAGCACTTAACTGTGGTTAGTAGGTGTTAATCGCGGGTATAATAATACGGTCAAGATTTGGGAAAATGAATGTGTCTGTTCCGACATTACCATTTTTGAGCTACTTATGCTAATGTTATGGTTACTGTTCTATTTCAAACCACCTACAATCAAGACTTCAACTCTATGCTAATTGAATTAATAGAATGAATTAATCCCATATCTTTGTTAAGTTGTATTAAACCTTTAGATGTAAAGCCATGTTACCCACGATAACGCGTTCATGATGTGTCTATAAGGATAGCAGATGTCTCAACTGAAAAAGTCATACGATTTTACGACTACTAACTAAACTATCACCTTGTCTTAGTACTCCACATCTAAATCCATCATTTCACAGTGTATCAGAGGCTCATTGAAGGCAGTTGCAGTTCAATACAAATAAGCTATACATGCCTTATACCTCTGCAACTGTAAGGTAATGCGAAGTGGACTGCTGTTCAGCATGATCCCCCTTTGAAAGGTAAATGGACGTCTTACGCAAACGATAAATGATGTTTCTTGTTAAACTTAATCTAGATTTTTATGTGTGTGCTTGAATTCGCTTATTCACCAATCTGTTAGGGTTGAAACAATATTTTGTATTTGAAGGGAGTAAACTACATCTAATTAATTATCATCACTCAGTGTACAAAAACCGATATTTCAGCGCCTCTTTAGAACGTAAATGTATCACTTGAGTACTTCAAACCTATAAAACAGTTTCTAGATAAAATATTTGAGAAATCTTACTAATAAAATCACTTCTTGTAGTATATCTGTGGCAAAATAAAATAAAGGAAAAAAACAGGATGAGTGATTTCTTCGGACAGGGTCTATGATAAGCTACTACTTAGGTTAACTACGTCTAGCAACCTTCATCAACTCTGTATTCTTTTGAATCCATGTATGTGATTCAAAAGTGATATTTCTTTCGCTTGATAGGATTTAGTCTTTTATTAAGAGGTTTTTCCATGAACTCGCGGAACACAAACTGTTTAATGGAGATGCAGGAGAAAATCCTAAAGGAAGACCTGAAAATGTGTGGTACATGTTTACTTGCTGAATGCAAAACGATGGTCAATAATTTTCCAGAGCTTCATGATTGATTCGACAGTAGAGAGCGATCACGTTGAACCTACCAACTCTCCAAGTCACTTGCCTATATAGGTCACTCATATTCAAAAAATCACACAGCCCAGTGTAGATGCGGTGTTAGCTTTTCTGTCGAAGACTTAGAATTTTACACAAGATTAGATTCTACGTGCATAATTTTCTGCTTCAAAAGATAATATGAAAATACTAAAGTTTTAGATGCATAAATTCTTTCAAAGCATTGTTTAACTGTGGTAGGGCTACTAACTAATCAATGATTGGACATATTTTAAGAACAGAATAAACGACTTGATTTGGAACATATAATGACCGATCTGTTTTAGATATGCTTCACATTGTTAAAATCTGTTATGTCGAATTATATTCGAACGGACTAGATGCTTAAGGATAAACACAAATTCATTATATTATCAGTCGTTAATCTTAGCAGTCTTAATGACTGATGAATTCTGTCAGGAAATTAAAAAGTACTGGATGTATTTATCCGTTTGCTTTTTGCAATAATGCGTCCTTTCCCTTAGATATCAGGGATTGTGGGCGGGTTGAGCGACCACTACTAATAATAAATGACCAATGGAGTATTAATTACGGCCAGAATCAACGTAAATACTCTATAATTACCAGAATAATATGGAAATCCTTGATTATTAGCTACTTCTGGACTTTGTTTGCCTACAGTACTGAGTTGAGCCAGTCGGAAAGTAAACAGGATCAAACAAAAACATATATCAATTCAATTAGCCACACCTCGTAAACACACCAAAAGCAGAAGGCTAATCCAATAGTAGTAAGCCGTAACCAGTGAAGACAACCTAGTAGAGAATAAAATAGTAATCCGTTACTGATACTATGTGTAGATTACTTCGTATCCCAAATTAATTAAAGTTAATGTGAAAATTTTCAATTTGTTTTAATTACGTAGATGTATTATGCTCACCTTAATAAATAGATGTTATAGGATCGGTCACAATTATTGTTCGGTGATCATCAACATGTAACACCTGTCCAATCCCATTCATTTTTCAATGGTTTTACAGTTGAGGATAAGAAATTATATTTTTATCGAACAAAATGTAAATGACAGAGCTCATTGTTAAGATCAGCTATTACTTGGCGACAACTTTCGTATCTAGCTATCGACCAAAATAAATGACCTAAAACAGATTTAGCTGTCTGATGAATGACACAGCTTAGATGTGTTTAACTAATTAGTAAATGTTTATCTCCCAGAATCTATAGCTTTAGTATTGTGTACTTGATGTTAGTGGTAGCTACTTATCAAATAACTGCTCATGCATTCACTATAATTTTGTTGGATATTTAGCTATTAACATTCTTGTCTATATTTTGATCAACTTGTATCTTAATTATGAACTTAGTATTAATTATCTAGAAGCCAAATATATACACTCTAGTAATGAATCCGTAAACCTCAAAAAGAGGTTTCTAGATTATTGTAATCTATTGTCGTTTTATTTGCATATACTTGATTTTTGGACTAAAGATAATATTCTACAATGATCAATGTTAAAGCATATGTTCCTTTTTTGGATGTATTACAATATTAAAATTAGTATAACTGTAATTCTGTTTCTTTGATTCTTAAATATTACTTTGTATACTTTAATTCTGTGATCTAATCGACTAATACCACTATAGTTAATTGTCAAAAATGTTATGTTTACGTGACCAGATAAAAAAAAACTTTGTCTAATTTAAAATTAACAGTGTCGTACGATAAAACTTGTGTTCTAGAAAAATTCAAAGTACATTACATTTTTCATAAATCAATATTTCATAAACCAATCAGTTACCTAAACATTTATATATATTGATTGAATTTTAGCATAATTTTAGCTTCATCTAACCAATCAGATCACGAAAGTAAGTTAATAAAGTAATCTAGGTACAAATAGTAATAGATTTTAGAGTATACTTTGAAAATCATATGATCTACGAAATAGTTTTTCGTAGACTGATGTTTTAACCTAAACACTTATGGAATTTGGTGATACAAGATAGAAATTATGATGTAGTAAATTTTTAGTGCTATCATATAATACAGTTTTATATCTATACAACTTAATGTTATCTGAAATATGATAAATGTGATAATGAATAATTTAATTTTTATGTTTA